AATGAATTATCACTTTATTTCTAAACATTTATTATTTAGAACATTCTTAATCAATATTATTTAATGAAAAACCATGTCTTCTTGCTCTTTTTTTTTGTTGCAAAGTTGTCAATGTTAGCATAAGTACATGATGAGTAAGTCTTTATTTTATTCAGAAAGAAATTATTGTAACTAAATTCATATTAACAAAGGAAAAAATTAATTTATTTGATTAAAAATTCATTCGTTCATATATCATATCTTATACATTATAAGAAGAATTCAAGTCAAATTCACCTAAAATATTTTTTCATTAGCCTCCCATATGAAAACTTGAAAACAACTTGTCAAACTTCATCAAAACCATTATTATATTCATTTTTCAATGCTGTTCTTCTACTAATGTAAAAGTTATTCATTGTGTTTCATTATCAATTGACTATCGTAGGTAGAAAAAGTGTAATTCTTCAGAGTCAAACCTTCGCGTGGTGTCTTAAATGTAGTAATGGTAACATCTCATGCAGATCTTTGTTCAACAATTTCAAATTTTCCATTACTTCAAATATATGTGGATAAAATCAATCGACATTGTTGTTTATCAAACAAGAATATGAACTATTTCAGGCAAAATTGGGTATACTCACCTTCTATTTGACTTTAATTCTTTACAAGAGTTATCTTTCTGAATAAGTTCTTTTAATATAGACATATGTAAAAATGTTAGTTCTTTCAGCTGACTATTAATTAAAAATTAATTAATGAATATCTCTCTGATCATAGAAGAAAGAAAAACGATGAAATTTTCAGCATGATCGAGCTTCACAAAACAGGTTTTATAGAAATTCTATCAAGTTATGAAAGAAAAATTTATGTTTTATCATCATCTAGTGATTCTAAAGAAAGATTTGTACGATTTTAAATTGATTTTGAATTTTTCATTCGGTTATAAGAATATTTTTTTGTCGTAGTCCGGTAGGTTGCTAACGAAAAGTAAATCGTTTTTCTTTGAAAAATCTAGCCATACTCAGAAAAAACCTTCGATAGAGGTTTTGTACCCTCAAAATTTGTCTATATTTAGTTTTCAAAAAAGCTGTCTCAATTCAGAGTTTTGTTTAAAGTGTAAAATGTATGAAGTGAAAGTCAATGTTCTTTTTAACGTTACGTTTTTTTTTTTACTGATAACTTCTCTGAATAAAGGTCTCTAGCGTTGATTGTTTTTTTTTTGGGTGTATCTAAAGTAACTTAATATACATGTAAAATATAAAGTTTAACTTTAGGAAAGTTCATTATTCCGAAATATACATGTTTTAATTTTGTGGAATCACATCACTAAAACCAATGATTTTGTGCATATCTTTATTATGCTCAAGAAATATCTTCTGTTTAAAATATACAGCTTGTTTAATATAACAAAGAACAAATTATTCGATAAAAACAAAAAATCTGAAAGCTAGATTAAATTATACTAGTCTTTTACGTATAAGATACTATTATATCAGACAATCTATGCGCAAAATAAAAGATTGATTGATATTTGTCTAAGCTGTTGGTTTACCACCGGTGACTTAAAAGAAAAAGTAATATTTAATAAAGAATAAATAGATTGGCAAAACTTACCCGAAAGAATTTCACTAAAATAAAGATAAAATATATTTGATTTTTTAATGATATTCAAACAATAAATTTAATTATTTACCCAGATATATATGATGAATCAGCTCCACAAGCTAAGAAAACAAATGCTGGTGCTAATTCTCGTGGTTGTGCTGGACGTTTAATTGGATAAGTTGATCCAAATTGTGAATTTTTTTCTTTTGGAAATGATGCAACAACTAATGGTGTCCATACGGGTCCAGGCTAAATTAAAAATTTCATTTCAAAAAAAAAAAAAGTTATCAAATAAAATAATTTATTTACTGCAACACAATTAACACGAATTCCTTTTTCTAAAAGTTTACTAGCTAAACCTTTTGTAAAACCAACAATAGCAGCTTTTGTTGTTGCATAATCTAAGATTTCAGCTGATGGATCATAACTAAATACCAATATATTATAGAATACAGATAATAAAAAATTTTAATTTAATTTACGCTTGAATTGAACCAACATTAATAATTGCTCCACCTTTTGGCATATGTGGAACGGCATATCGAACCAAATCAAACACTTGAAATAAATAAAAATTAAATTTTCTCTTTTTTTTTTTTTGTCTTTTATTATTAAAATTTACTCGAAATAATATTTGTTTTAAATGTATATTCTACTCGTTGATGATCAAGTTCAGCAATATCTTCCTATAAAACAAAAAAAAAAAACGATCGCCTAATAAGATTATTTGTTCTTTTCAATCAAAATAACTAACCACTTGTTTGCCTTGATATGCAGCATTATTTACTAATATATCAATTCGTTTAAATTTTGCTACTGCAGTATCAATAAGAGTTTTACATTGTGCTTCCTAATGATATATGAATTAGTGTTTTTTTTTTCTTCTCATCCTCATGGCAGAAAATTAAAACTTACTTGACTGATATCACCAGGCTAAAAATAGAAAAATATAAATTAATAAAAAAAAAAAATTCAAACTTTAGATTAAATAGATTTCTTTTTTGAATGTAGAGTTTGTTAAAATGTGATTTTTTTTTCTCAGAAAGTAGGGAATTCAACTTTCATTTCCGATATAAGATAAGTTTGATATCCAAAAAAATGTTGAGATATTCACGAAATTTAAATTTTTCTACACAATAAAAGTGGATCATATATAAGAGAGAAAATGCTCTTCATGATGTCAAAAAATCGTTATGATTAACGATGCATTCACGAACATATTTACCGGCTACATAAGAAAAAAAAGAGGAATGAGGTAGACAATTTAGAATTAACACAAGAGGATGAATAATTATCAAGATACAACTTTTCTCATCCAACCAAAATATCTACTTAACGTACTAATATTGATTATATGTAGGGGCGTGATACTCCCTGCTTCTGAAATTTGTGTACTCAGTGCCCCTTCTAACAGCATTCAGCCGCTCTGCGTCGTCTACCTTCAATGCTGATCTACGCCTTTGATTATATAGTACAAAAAAAAACCGCTTCTTGATTATTTTTTTCCCATGTTTCACGCTTGTTCGTACTACCACCGATATAACGCACATTATACCGAACGCTTCACCGATAGTTTTCATTCGGTTCGAATAATATAGGTTCGTATTTTTGACTTATTTTCAAACCATTTATCATCTCGTTAACTCATATTGATGTATACCATTAGATCAACATTTTTGATGGAGTTTATTTTTGTATAAAATTTACTTTATATACAATAAGTCTTGGTCGTGTCCTATCTCCTTGAAAACAAGAACATTTCTACACATCCTGTACTTTAAAACTAAATTTTAATGATCTTTTATTCAAAAGACATCAATTTATGTTAATTTTTCAGAGATACTCGAGATAGTCTTAATGGACATCCATTTCAATGTATAAACATGTTATTTGTTTTTAACGAATAAAAATATTCAACATTATTTCAAAACCAAGAAGAGATGGATTAAATAAAACTCGATTCAATTTTACAGTCTATTAGAAGTCTTACCACTAAAATACATTCACGACCAGATTTTTCGACAGCTTTTTGAATTTCTGCAGCATCTTCATGTTCATTTAAATATGAAATAATTATTGTTGCACCTTCACGTGCATATGCTAAAGCAACAGCTCGACCAATACCAGAATCACCACCTTAATAAGAAACATACAATATTCATTTGAAAATAATTATTAATCTTACCAGTAATTACTGCAATTTTATCTAAAAGTTTACCCGAACCTTTATAACTATCCACACCATAATCCGGTATTGGATCCATTTTATATTCATAACCGGGTGAATCTTGTTCTTGAGGTTTAAATTTTGGCTGCGGACCAGCCTGAAATAATAAGATTCATAAAATTAATAAAAATTATCAAAATTTAACCTTGTTTGGATCACCATAAAGATCGTATTTAGACATATTAGCAATACGCGTCAGTAAGAATTTTTTAAGAATAGAACGAAACTGAATAGTATTCTGTACTATTTGTATGCTCTCAATAGCCGATCTCGTGTCGCGTACACGTGACCAAATAAAATGTGGCGACAATAATTCAAACTCATGTTGTGATTGGTCCTCGTAACAAATCAATAAAATTGTGTTGAACGTTAGTAAATGATACACAGACGTCTGTCTATTATTGCACCATCATAGTGTAACACATTCCAATCTGCCTATTACGCGAATATAATAGTCGTATTCGATTATTTCTCTTTGCCATAACTGCTGTTATCAGCATCTTTCTTTCAGAATGGCCAACTATCAACTTTATCGTAATACAACATTAGGTGTTACATTACAGGACACCCTGGAAGAAATGATTTCGGTTTATATATATATATATATTTATTTATTTTTAATATATACATATTTATATTCTTTAATAATAGCAAGGTGCATTGACTGATCAAGCAGCTGGTAAAGTTTTAAGTGAATTCGATCGATCAATTAATTTAGCACTTGATAAACGAATTAATAAAAAAATTCAATTTTCAGTAAAATGAAGAATTAAATTTTAATAACAAAAAGAAAAAAAAAAACAAAATCCTTTTTTTTTCTTCTAGGGAAAATTAAGCACATATCGTTTTTGTGACAATGTTTGGACACTTGTATTAAAAGATTTTAGTGTTAAAGATCCTAATCAAAGTCAACATAATACAACAGCTCCTACTTCACAAATACCTCCTGCCGATAAAGTTAAAATTGTAGCATGCGATGGAAAAAGTCTGTTTTCTATTTGAATGAAAAAAAAATCAATCTCACTATGTTCTATTTTTAGGTGCTACACAAGCGTAAAACAATTTCTTTAATACTATCTTTGATGTTTACTTGACCTTTTTTTTTTTTGTATATTAATACTCATCGAAGTTTTCTTTTTTTTTTGGGTACTAAAAACAATTCAGAATGAATTTTGTCATCTTTCAGATGTCAGAATATAGTGATATTGCTGGAAGCGAAGATGTGATCTCACTTACTTGTGAAAGTCAAGAAACACTCAAGTATTTGTTTAGTTTTTTTTTTGTATTTTGTTTAATTATTATTGAGTTTTTCTAGTGAACATTCATATCGAACTAAACAATTAGCAAATCGTACTGATAAAAGTACGCCTATGAAAGGTTATCAAAAAAATTTTACTTTTCATAAAAAATTTTAATATATGATTTTATTATTTATAGATCAAGCAAAAGAAAATCAAAAACCAATCGAACAGGTTAGATTAATGAAAAAAAAAAGAAAGGTTCTATCAAAAAGATTCGAAACGATTGTGTATTTTTACTAGTGTTGAAAAATCATGAGATAGATTTTAATAGAAATTTTCTATGAAATAGTATAATTATTGTTGATGGGCAACTATATTTATCATTGCTACGATTTTCAAGGATTTGTTAAGGTTTCTCGCTGAAAAATCGATCTCAGACGAGGTGCATTCAAATTCGATGAAATTTTCAGCCCTATATCATGACGTTTTCAGTAGAAGTGCTTTTTTTTGTACAACAATAAAAAGTTGAATTCAAAAAACATGCAGCACTACAGCTTCACATGCTTTTTCAACAACAAAAACGTAGCAATTGGGCAAAAAACTCGATTTTTTTGACGACAATTGACTTTTTTTTTTGAGGAGGGCCTTAACATCACAAACTACATAAAGCAAAAACATATTTTTCACAAGTCTTTCTAATTCTTATAAGTTTAATTAGCAACGAATGATAAAATATCTTTTAGGAATTTTAATATTGAAATACAATTCTTTCTTTTACATATAAATTTTGTTCTTTTAAGACATTGAGAATAATATACTAGTTTGAATGGTACCTTTTCAAATAGTCATTTGGAATAAGACATGAATGATTTATTCAAGAACAAATAAAAATGAAGCATATTTTTATTTTTATTAAAGGTTAATAATGAAGAGGTTGATGGTATGCAAACAGACGCTCAAAATCGTCCAATTTCAACAGTTAACAATGGAGTATCAACTGAACAACCAACATCTTCGATTGATACTCAGAATACCTTAATACCGGATAATGTAGGATAATAAAAAAATCATTCATATTTCATAAATTTGTTTCTTTTTTTCACATTTTAGCCATTTATTATTCGACCACCGTTGGCTCAATCAACATTAACTGATGAAAGTGGTATTTCAACTGAAAAAGGTAGTACATAATAATCTTACGACAGAAAGTCCTACAACTAATTAATCGCTTTGAAGTTAAGACTATATGCATCATGTAGACCTAAATGATCTATGTATACCCTAAAAGCTGTTCATTTTCCTTAGCTTATTGCTACTAAGATGCTGCATTTTTCAAGGTATTTTTTAAGTCAATGCTGTGATTACCCTTAGGGACGCAATCAAATTGTGAAAGTTTCAGATCTTTTGAGTAGCTTGTTGTTTGAAATAAGAAAAATGAAATCTGCTGGTTTATATGAGCTTTTATCATATCTGTATCTTAGAATTGGAACAATGAAATGATCTGAAACTTTTGCAATAAACTATTCTCAACGAGACTAGTCTCTATGAAATATTTCAAGTCGAAATTCGAAAATGATTTTTCTTGAGAGGGAGCATGGCATTGAATTAAAAAATACTGTAAACATGCAATATCTCGGCAGCAATAAGCTAAAAGCCCGACCTTTTTTCAGGGTATTCATCATTCATTAGAGTCTAAATGACACACATAGTCTCGACTCAAAAGCAATTTATCAGTTGAGAGATTCTCTTCGTTAGTATTTTTTTAAATACTTTATTCAACTGATGAATATAGATGTACCATCAGAAAAATCATCGCTAGACGGACAGGTATTATTTTGTTTGCAATAATGAATTACGAATATATATGTATAATTGTCTTAATAGAAACCTACTATAATTGATTCGGCATCAAAAACAAAATCAGTTTGTATTCATGTAAAAAAAAAAGAAACAGTTTAAGATATGTTTTTCTCTTTCGATTAAGGATTCGAATGTATCTGGACTTGATGCGTCAACTATAACAAATAGTAAGAATTATTAATATTTCAAAAATTTGATTTAATTATTTCTTTAGATTTACGACTTTATATTTCACCATCAACTAGTCTTCTTGAAACAACGAATGATGATGCACAGTAAGAAATTATTTTATTTATCTAATTTATTTAATTATTTAATGATAGACCGAATTCTGTCAATATATCAACAACAGAAATCGAAGAAAAAAATCAACTAACAGGTTCTATATTAATTTATACAAAATCTAATAAACTAATAATGATATATATGCCATTTACAGAATTCGATAATAAGCCAAAAGATGAACCAATGGATACAAGTGATGCACAAGCTTCATTAGGTAGTGATGGTATTATTGATTCACAACCTACTTCTGCACTTATTATTGAATCTACTTCAGTTACTGAAAAATCTACAAAGGTTCAATCACCTAATCAAAGCAAAGCCATTGTGAGTGTATTATTTTTCTTTTGTACGGATACAGTGACTCCAAAAATTCATCATTTTTGATTCAACAACGTCAATAGTAAGAAAAGCACAAAAGTAATTTTTTTTTTCGTAATTTCCTACGGGAAAAAAAGAACTTTTGTATTGTTGCTTAAAATTGATGTAGCTCAATTAATAAATGTCGTAGAGAGTTTGGGGACATGTGATTTTCTAGAGAATAAGTTGCTCTATCAAACGAAACTTTTATTTTAGGATTTTGATTGCTGAAAAACTAGCTTTGGGGAATACTGTAAAGGATTTCATTTCCTGTACATGTTTGTTGAAAACAAATTTCGCTATCCGAGTTATTACAGATAAAAAAATAAAATAAAATTTTGTATGATCAATTTTTGGAATCACTATATTTATAAATAAAAAACTTTAGATATCACCTGCTTCAAAAGCTTTGTATTCATTGAGTCAACCGGCAACAAATAAATTTGAAAGTATTCTTGCTAAATTAGTTGCTTCACCAGGACGACAAACAACTTCAACACATGAAAATGAAAATGAATCAAATATAACAATTGTAAGAAGTATTTGGTTTTGAATATTGTTTTTTTTTAAATGAATCTATAAAATCTATTTAGCGGGAAGAAGAAGAATTATTTATTAAAGAATATATATCAAAAGTAGCACGTCGTTATGCTGTTAAAGTTGATCAAAATGGACGAATTATATCACGTGAACTTCTTATTGAAGTAAGATTTTTGTTTTTCAAATATTTTTCCTTAAACAATGAAGAAAATATTTTGTTTTTTTTCTTTTTATTTTTGAATAGCGTACTGTTGAAGAAAACACAACTACTCGTATAGAATCATGGCCACCAGAAGAAAAAAAGAATCGTCGTTCAACTACTAAAACTTCTCGAACTACGGAAACTAGTCGAAAAAAACCAACAAAATCAAATGTACCAAAACGAAAGACGAAAAGTTTGTAAGTATTAAAAGAACTTTCCGATGATCGTCAATTCTCGAGTAGAATTATCTTTTAAATTGTTACACTTCGGATAGAATAGTTCAAATGAATGGAGTTGCAAATGACTTGTGCAATGTCTAAGATCATGACAAGCACAAATTGCGTGAGATCTATTTGTCGATTAATGTCCTGAGTGGTTACAACTTTTCACTACCGAAGCTAATCAATATTTGCCAGATACTTTCGTAAAAAGAAAACAGAGATCATCTCAAATATATCACTTTCCATTTCTGTAACATGTTCTCATGTACAATAAATTACTCGAATTGGTTTTCACTTCTATATTTTTCTATAAATTAGCAGCTTGAAAAAGTAAAAATACTTTGAAAATGTCGAGATCTCATTAATCGCTGAACCGAGTACAAGTATGAGCTCAGAGTAGACGACGTAGATCTGTTAATATATCATTGAATCTGTACCTGAGATATGCATCAAATGATCCTTGAATAATCATTGACTATTTCATTTTGTTTTTCAGAAAACCAAGTTCAAATGTTGTTTCTCCTAAACGATCAAAAGCTGCTCAAAGGTAAATTAAGCATCTGATCTAATTGTCTTGAACTTATTTAGTTTTATTAGTGATGATGATGAAGTATCAAAAACAAATACAAATGATGATTCTACTGATGACGACGATGATGATGATGATGATGATGATGACGATACACCAACAGATGATGTTAGTGGTGATGAATTTATACCAACATCAAAATATTCTACTGGAAAATCATTAACAAAAGGTTCACGAGTTTTTGCTAAATGGGTTGATGGTCATTTTTATCCCGGTATTATTGGAAATAGTAATGGTGAAAAGTAAATTACAAAAAAAAAAAACAATATTTTTTTCTAACACTGAAGTTAATTTCTTTGCTTATAGATATATGATTGATTTTGATGATGGTGCTAAACGTTATGTTAAAGCAAATGAAATAATATCTCAAAGTTATTTAGAAGCTGATCAAAATGTTTTAGCACAAACTCAAGATGGATATTTTGATAATGGAATTATAAAACGTTTAATTAAAAAGAAAAAAACTGGAAAATTAGGTTATGTTGTTGAAAAAGATGGAAAAGAAAAATGGTATCCATTACGTTTTATTTCATTAACTCATGAACAAGCTGAACATTTACCAATAGTTAATAATAATAATAATAATAATAATACCGAAGGTAATTCATTTTCTAGATTAATCATTTGAATAAATAATTTTGTCTTTTGTTTTTGTTTTTTAGTATCAACAAATATTGTTCAAGGAAAACGTAAACGAACATTAACAGTACCTCAATCACCAAATAAAAAAACTAAAAGTTCAATTTTTCCATCACCAAATAAAAATCAACGAACGAGTAAGATAATTGATTCATAGTTATATTTGACTTTTCTTTTTCTAAAATCAATTCTAGCATATACACCAACACGTCAAACAAAATTATTTAATACGATGTATTTTCTTCTTACGGGTTTCAATGGTAGAATATCGTTATATTTCTTCGTTGTTTTTTTTTTTTTGTATTGAAAAGTTTTCTTTTTAGATTCAATAGATATGCGACATAAAGTTCAAGATTCAATTGAAAGTCATGGTGGAAGAGTAATTGAAAAAATGCCAGCTGCTGTATGAATAAAACATTAATCATATCTATAATTTTGTTTTCATACTGTTTTTGTTTCTATTAGAATCGACGTGATAATGTTTATTTAATATCTGATGTAGCACGTAAAACAGCGAAATTTCTCGATGCAAAAAAATTAAATATTCCTTGTGTAAATTATGAATGGATTAATGAATCTATTGAAAAAGTAAAAAAAAAAAAAAACAAGATTTGAATGAATATTATAATGATTAAAAAATTAATAATAATAATTTTTTTGTTTTAGGGTGAAATTCAAGATTGGGAGACACATAAATTAGTTTTACTTGAAAAAGAAACGAAAACAAATAATGATAACATCGATGAAGATCAAGAAGATTAGTAATATATACTATGTCAGATCTATTTTATTTGTTGTGCAGATAGATACAAATTAGTTATATATTCTCTTTATATTTTTCTGTATGTTGTAACATATTCGTTAGGATATGAAGTTAAAATAAATGATAGAATATACTTAATAATTAATTTTGATTATATATTTAAAAAAGGGTATTCTTGAAAATCGTTTTGTTTTATATATCTACTCTCCAAACATTGCTCTTTCAAACAAAAAAAAATGTTGAAGTCAATCTGATGTTACATTGTTGATAAAATAGATTTCGATATTCTTTCAAAGACTTTTGCATGGTTTATTAATTAAAAGAAAATTTTCTTTGTGATTATCATCTTTGAAAGGACTCTTATAAAAAGTACGCATTCTTATTGTGTATTTTATCATTGTTTTTGTTATTTCTAATAAAACTTTTGTTATCTGATAAAGTTTGATAGAGGAATGTTCTAAATGACTTCATAAAAAAAAAGTCATGTACAATTGAAAAATGACATCTACCGACTCAAATTAAAACTCTTCGACTTCTGAATCATCAAATCTCCAATGATAAATATTATTATGTAAGAAAATTAATTTAAATAGAAATTTTTCTTTACTCTTATTATTAATTTAATTATGAGTGGTTTAAGAAAATCACTACCTATACATAAACCGATAACAACAATAGATCAAAATCTTGAAGATGGAGACGACGAAAAAGTATTTGTTACATCAAAATATAAAAAAATGATTCCACCAATAGTATTAACTAAATGTCCATTAACGGACGATTATGATGCGCAAGAAACAATCACACTAAAAAAACAGACAAAAGAAAAAAATCATCAACAAAGAAAGCTATTACAAAATCAAAAGGTAAAAGACTGAGAAACCAAATAATCTAAGTAATGATGAAAATGCAACACTATTTAATGGTACTTATAGTCTAACGATAAAAACTATAATTAATAATGAAGTTGAAGTAAAATTAACAAGTGATGAAGTTACTGAAATTCAAGGAAAACGAAAAAAAATCTGAATTCTAAAGAGCATTAATTAGAACTTCAATTAAAACGTGTATTTAAAAAAAATTTTTACAAAACCATACACATCATATTGTTTGTAATGTTGACCATGGTCTTTGATTTAATAGAAACATATATAAATAATCAAGAATTACGTTCGCTTATGTTTTCATGATTGGACGAATCAATAATAAAAATACTTATTTATAATAGTAAAACAACAAATATAAATGATATGCATCAACTTGTCAAAAGTATTTTAGTGAAATTATTATTCTTATTCATAAATCATCCATTAATGAAGAAGAAAATCAACCAATAACGATGAAAAAATTATTTCAAGCTATGATTGAGCAGCTTACAAATACTTTATCACCAATACAAGTTAATCTTATTCTTTGCCTATCGAATAGTCTAGCCATGAAAAGGGTGGTCAATAGCAGTTGGAACACATTTATATTCTTTTTTTGCAACGATATTTTGATCAATAAAACAAAATGTGGCAGAATGGTTAGTTTCAAGCAGTTACTTCCAATCAAATACGATGCCAAACTATCTCAGTAATAATTGACACCTAAAAATCTTTCGCAAAGCTTTCAATTACACTGTCAATTATTAGTATTTTTCTGTTTATTTTGTATACAAATATATATATATATATATATAATGATTAAAACAATTCATTAAATTTCAATTCTATCAAAATCACTGTTTTCTTGAATCCAATCAATATAATTTGATACTCGTGTATAAATGCCCGGTTTCATTGGACTAGCACATTGTTCACCATAAGAAACAATACCATCAATACTATAATATAATATATTTGATAAATTTCGTTGAATATATAAGCCACCACCACTATCACCTTGACATGTATCACGTTCTCCATTCAAATCACCACAACATATTTGTGTATTCCAATTTTTTTTTGTTGATGGTGCAACATTAGTACAAAATTCGTTGGGATATATAGTTAGATTAACTTGTCTAAGAATAGATGAGCCTGAAAAAAAAAAAGAATCAAGGAATATAAACATTAATGAATATTTTTCTTTTTTTTTTCGACAACTTTCACCTTTATTTGCACCTGGAAAAGTATCACCAAAACCAACAACAATACCTATTGTATTTATTTCAGATAATAAATAAGGTAAACAAGCAAATTGAACTTTAGGTGATGGTCGTAGATAGTCTTCAAGTTTAAGAATTGCAATATCATTAAGTAAATGTCTATCATTATAAAATGGATGCTTAGAAAAAAAAGAATTATATAGATATATTATTATCAATATATTTGTTAATTTTTATTTTATCTTACTAGAATTACTTGAAGAACTTTTACAATACGTCGTTCAGTTGCTTTTCGTCGATCATATAAACCTACACTAACTTCTAACGTCTAAATAAAAATTGAACATATAAATATTGTCTAATGAATAAACCTACACTTTCGATATTTGAATAATATTTATTCCAGACAATAGAAACTGCAAATGTTTTATAATCGAATCTAAAAGATAAGATTTTTAACCATTGAAAAGTTTCAGTTTAATATCATGTAATCTGTATAATGTTTACAAAGATATTTTCATAGAATATTCGATCGTTTAGTCTGCATCTATTTCTTCAATGGTGAAAGAATTCTTCTAACTAAATCTTTCTAGAAAAATTCTTGGAGATTCCGAATAGAATTCCTCAGAGATCTGCAAGGACTTCATAAAAATTTGGGAATGAACTCAGGAGAAATACGTAAAAATAGTAAGAAGTCCTTAAATATCTTATGGATACTAGAATTGACTCCTATATTCGTTGGTATAATAATTTGAAGTTTCTTTGCATTCTTATAAATTGGAATTTATCTGATGGACAAAAAAAAAGAATTTTAGTTTTTCCAAGAATTCGTTCCGCCAGAGTCTCTGCCAATGCTTTATCTTAGTAGAATAGTGAGTGACTCGTTTTAAAAGTTAGTTCATGTCAAAATAATGACTAGATGTTCGAAAAGTGCAAGCAGAAAAAGGAAATATCCTGGACAAAGAAAATTCTATCTTATGAATCTTCGCTGTCTAATATAATTCTACAGTCGCAAAGCTGAACAATGAATAAGCTGTTACATTCCTTTATAAATTTCTTGGATAATCATTAAGGGAACTTACGTATCACCGGCTGTTTTCAAACAATGCGCCTAAAAAATAGTTATTTTATAGTTTTCAAACGATTCACATATTAGAACAGACCGCAGTTAAAATTGTCTTATGATTAATTAATGTTCCTCCACACATCCACGATGCTGAAATCTAAATAATATAAAAACAGATATAGATATTTGTTTTTTTGAAATTTCGATTTATGAATTATTACTAAACAAGATCTATTATTTAGTGTAACTATTCTCTTATATTGTTGTCGAATAAGAACAGCAAACGGCCAACTATATTCACTAGCTTCTACTCCACCAATAATACGAGCATTCGGTCGAGTATACGTTATTCCACATTCTGCAAAAACAAAAAAATAAAAAATAATTAATACATCTTGTAGTTGAATTGGAAAACTATTATTGAATTACCATCACAAACTGTTCGACCATTACCAGCAGTATTAGAATCACAAATACATTGTCCTTTGAATAGTGATCGATTGATGCATCCTGTCGCTCGTGAATGACATTTTATAAAGAGACATGGTTCTAAGAAAATATTGAAATTGATTAAAAAAAAATATTTTATTATTAATAATCAAAAAAAAAACACAATTAAATAGATCATATTGAAATATATAATAATTAAACTATCACATCATCGATAAATATTTGTTAACTTTACTTTACTATTAAGTTGTAATAATTAGTTAATAACATACTTATACTAGCAAGTACAATCAATATTATGGTTGTTACAAGTAATATTGTAAAAATAACAAATATAACAATAATAAATCGTCTCTTACTTCAATAAAAACAAACAAGATTCTTAAGTATTTTATTAAATTTTTCTTTTACTTTGAACAATGATCGCAGATAGATGATGAATGTGATATATTGAACATTTGATTCTAAAATAGATAAGAAAAAATCTATTATCTTTTGTAAATTTTTCTTTATTTATTTACATTCATTTCATTGACATAAAAATTTCGAATGTGTGAATGGAAAAAAAAATAATATACATTACAATCTCATCATTCACTTGTTGATATAATGTTGAACAAAATTAAGCTTACGATCGTTGTAGAAGAAACAAAGATAAGTGCTGTGCGACGACATTCAAATCAAGGATATAATGACGACAAAGACATGAGGAAAAAATGAATAAAGAATATGAGAAAAGGAGAAGAAAAAAAAGAAACTCATAATGTCTTTAGTAAATTGTCTCACACTCATAACGGGCTTCCTTTTTATTTCTTTGAAAAACGATTCAAGTAGAATTGTTCGTAGTAATGTATATTTATTATATATACGTTCATTGATAGGTAAAGTTAATGATTGTCCTTCGTCGTTCAGTCAAACGAATATGAATGAATATCATTATATGGACATTTGTCATTACGTAGAATAAGTACTTCAATCTTCAACTTTTTATAAATGAGAATCAGTCAATTTTTAATGATTAATGATGTTAAAAAATGTCTGTTTTCTAAAAGAATTTAATTATCATTAATAAACTGTCTTTGAAAAACTTGAAGATATTGTGCCATCATGTAAAAATCAAACATAGATTAAAATAGATGTTTAGGTGGTGGTCAAGTTTCATTATTGTTTTGAACTATTTATATTTTAAAAGTGACAAAATCTCATCAAATCTAAGAGTAATTGTACGCTTCCATTATGTTATATGTTTTTGTTGACAATTCTACAAAAGAAAAGTCTCATATGATAGTAAATGAGATTGAAATGTATTATTTCTCAAATAATAATACTAATAAAAAGAAAAGATAACCTTTTCGATGATGTTACTATATACTATACACAAAAAGTATTTATCTAATCGAACCAAGTAACGAAGAAATCTGTGCATTTCATTTTTCTTCTTTGTTAATAATCATTCATCATCAGTGCTAGTCAATTTTATTATACTTGTCACAATGATGATCTAACAAAAGTTAAAACCTTAATATCATCAATGATTACATAAAAAATCAATCATATATAGAATTAAATGTTACCATTGCTACTCATGTTACAGAATTTTTTGGTTATATCGGTATAGTTTGTCTTCTTGAACAAGATGATCAGTGGTTTATCCAGATATTCTCTTCCAGAAGGGTGAACACCTTTTTTTAGGAACATACACTTATAGTACGGGGTATAATAATTATAATCCCAAACTTCAGAAGAGTGCTGCCCTCAACGATAAACGTAATCAGTAGAATAGATTCGAAAAACTATGCTTGCGCGAAGAAAAAGCACTGGACATCATTCAGTTCTTTGAAAAGACTATCATTTTCCCATGCAGTAATAGTGGCAAGATCGCTTGCATGCTTTTGAACTATTTTTTACTACCTTAAATTTTATTTTTGTGATCAACATTTACCAAGTTTGTTTTATGTGATTCACAAACAAAAAATACTTACGAGGAAACATTCTCAAGTGATTCGGTCCGTTTGTTCTCATATTTTACTAATATGTAGGAGATCACTGGAGTAGCGTAACGTCTAAAAGTTTTCTGATCATGCTTAGATTTGGTAGAGGTAACAACTTTTTAGTAGATTCGTCCTGCAGAAGTCCAATTTTCGAAAAAAATTATATTTGGGAATTTCGATCCGAAACTTTGTACACATGTCTGTCTCGATTAGACTATTTCATATACAGAGTTTCATCAGTCTTGGATATCTCATAGTCAAGATATGGACTTCTCAACATATCCACGCTTATCTTCAATTGCTGTCAAAGATAGAAATATATTGAGAAAGCCATGCCTTGGCCATGAGATGGTCAAAAATGATGAAACTTTGTATTGAAATAGTCTAATCAAGACCTTTATGTCTACAAAGTTTCAGATCGAAATTCATACATATATTGTTTTTTCAAAAAAACTAGATTCCTTTAAAATGAATCTATTAAAAAGTCGCTACCGTGACCAAATCTAAGCAAGAGCAGGAAACCTTTAGAGGTCACACTACTCTAGTAGTCTCCTACAGACCGGTAAAATATGAAGACAAACAGAGCGGACCATTTGGGAATGCTTCCTCGCCACTGCTGAATGATTGCACAATAACACATTCGACCTAATGAAACCCATCAGTGTGTTCCCCTATATTTTAATAAAAAAACTTAATAGAAAAACACTTTCTTTGCCTTTTTTCTCAGGTAGGAGGTTACACGTAATGTGTCATCTGCTCTGCCTTCGCTATTATTGGAATGATGTATTGCATAGTATGATGCTTCTCATTAGAATTCGATATTGGAATTCGATTCTGTTTTATTTCATGCTTGTAAATTGACATCATCATCAGTAATGTCGTCCGCAGCACTTGACGATTCAAATTCCATCTAGGCAAAATCATTGTCTAAACCATTCATTACACTCAGTGAGTTATCATTGTCGCTGTCTCCTACATTAGTTTCATCAATCGGCATATAATTCATAGCAAAATTTATCTGAAAAGCAACGCAAATATACGTATCTCAACATCATAAAAGGAGTTTATATTGTTTGAAACACGTCAATGGCATATATTTTGAATTGGAGTCAGATAATCTGAAGAAATTGCGTAGTATATTATAATAAAATTAGAATATGATAGAGAGTATTGTAGAGATAGTCGAATAGCCACCACTTTTTCTTTCGATTTTCTTTCTCCTTCTTTCCTTCTTTTGAAGAAAAACAGTTGTTTTTAGACACACGATAGAATAGAGCCAAAGAGACGACAAAGAAAAGAAAACAAAAGATAAAGTAATCGGGATTTCGCCTATTCTATTTCATTCCAACTGCGCAATACGCCAGAGAAAGAGAACAACAAAATTGATAGATCATACAGTTCGTCGAGAAAGGGAACTGTCCATGTGCTGTAACAAACAGAAAAGAAAATCCAACGAGCCAGCACAGAATAAAAAGGCAAACGAGCGCATTTGTCGAAAGAAAAATGCACACGAAAATGAACCTGTTACAGCTACTCTCTAATAAAATCGAACCAGATTGAATATAATACTAAGCACATATTGTAAAAAGCGATTGATTCTTATAGTTCAACATATTTTCTGTATACTAATATGTCTATCCAAGTTTTTATGAGGATCTAATCAAATCATCAGAAAACTTTAACTGAGTGACGGAAGAGGAAAGAGACAATTCTTTCGGGTTCCGTACTTTCATCCGATTGTTAGCCAGTGATGAAGCCAGTTTTTCTCTATATCGATAGATTAACATTACATATCGTGGTTTAGCTTAGTGCACATTAAACAAGATTGACACATGAACAAAACGTTTTTATTTCTAATTAGAGATCGTAAATGAAATAAACATTTTACATCAAAATATTACTGTAGTCATCGAATAAAATCATTGTTCTTTTGTCTTACATATATAAAATGCGCCTTGACAAAAAGAATAAAAAGTTTTATTGTCAAAAAATTTCATGATACAATATCACGTACATACAAGTTTTCTGTTATTTTTTAACTATTTTGTAAAATGAAAAACTATTCCATTTCGTTATATACTTAACAAATAATAATTAAATTCTATCTTTAATTGCATCAAAGATCAATGTTGCCATACGATCATATCCAGCAGCTGTCAAATGAATAGTATCATCCCAAATTTGTTCTCGTTCTTTATTGTCGTCTACAGAATGATAAGGTATACCTTTGTCAAGATCCACTAGATACACTCGATTTTGATCATTAGCATTAGCCACATAATCTCGAATCATTCTATTCAATTCTTGTCTATTTTTATCTCTAGCATGTGTTGGTGAATCATGTGCATTTTCAATAACAGTCATTGCTACCAACTTAGCTTTTGATTGTACACGATTAAGACACATCTCATACATTGGCTCTAAACCTTTCTTAAAAATATCTTCAGCCGATGAACTCGAACCCAAATCATTGGTACCACCCAGTATAATAATCCAGTCGTAGGATACATTGTTTTCAAGCAGCCTACGAAGTCTTTTAACCATGCTAGGTACAACCCGTTCACCACTTACACCTTGTTGATGTATCTTTACAGGAATGTTGGCTGAGTCGAACAAATTTGTTAGATGTGTTGCATATGGATGAAAAGCTAGACCATAACGATAATACCCTTCTGTAAGAGAATCACCAAAAGCAAGAATATGTAGTGGTTGTTGTTGTTGTTGTCCGTTTTTCGAAAGCATTACAAGTAAAACGATACACGTGAATAAAAGACCAATACAAATGTATGCTTGATAATGTTGCATTCTGGCTCTTGCACAACCATAAATAAATGAAAGCAACGTGTGTCATTTCCTAATGATTCACATTGAAAACACTCTTTCTTTCTTTCGTTCTTTCTTTCTTTTTTTCTTTCTGTCATAGCTTTGACAGAGAAGGGTACATATATACTTTATGTTTTGAAGGTAGTGTAATCGATTGATACGATTCTTTATTATTATATTACCTGTCGTACCAATCGAATCCATTCATTAGTTAAATTCAAGACATTTCAATGACTGTAAAACCAATATAATTGAGAGACCCACAGAGTAGTATAAAAGTTCGCCTTCTTTCTCCACCGATTCATTAAATATATGCTCTGGCTAATCGAAAAAGTGTTTTGAAAAGCGAATTTTCAGCAAATTTTTCAAGCACTCCGGTTAAATAACTACATTTATAAACGACCGTATTCCAAATAATACAGGAATTTACATAGCTTAGCTTTACAATCGTATATCTCGGTGTTGTATACAAAGGAATATGATGAATTACGAAAACAAAAAATGCTCGATTAATGTCTTCGTGCATGGTGTCAGTTTTGCTTTTTATTTTTCCATATATGATGAGTCGTTATGGTCTGGTCTTCTATTCAGATCTACAGCTAGTATTAATTGTCGAGAAGATGTCAGGCTATTGAATCTACTACTAGACAGCAGTCCATACCGAAAAGTAGTCGAAAGGTAGGAATATTCTTCCTTTCTTCTATATATGATACTATTGCTTTGTATGTAGTAACAGATATATACGATCGTAATTGTGAACTAAATGAACTGCCAAAAGATCGTCTTATATGACTTAACACAATTGTTTACGAGCATATGCAAACTCCATACTGTTCTTCCTAAATATGCGTCGCAATCGCTATTTTATTTTCATACAATCAAATGGCGTAAATAATATACTAATTCAAAAACCAAAAAATGAGACTACTGATAATCATTCATTTTTATAAATTTAGCTGTATTCTTAAAAAAAGGACAGTATCATCAGCAAGTGATGAAAAACTGTCAAGTCTTATGGTACTATTCTTTCTTTGCTATGAAGAAGACGGAGTGGCGTGACGTCGCTGATTTGAAAATATCAAGGTCTAATTTACGCATCAATATGTTTTTTAACAACTGTTCACATCACTTATAAAAATATCAATATAATTTTAATTTTTTCCTGAACAGGTTAAGAATTGTCATTTCTCAATTGAAGCGAATTAAGTTCAGTCTAGTTCATAATACAAAATTTTATTGTAAATCTGGAACACATAATTTCTTTGTAGATGCCACTAGTATACAATAAAACAGTGTCTACTTGATTATAAATCGATCTTGATCTCTCCAATGTATTCTTACTCAATTATTTTGCAAGTTACTGCTCTTCTGCTTATCGTTCTTTCGTCATAATCTGTCGAAATTTTATGATAAGTCTATATCCAAACATTCATTTTTTTTTTATAAATCTCTTCTGTGATATCTGACAAGTACGAATAATGGCTGACAAAGTTGCTCGCCATTCCCAATATAATCATAAATCTGTAAGTTTACAATTTTAATTATACTTTAAGCAATATCTTAGACCTTTTCTTTAAACAGAATTCAAATCTAGTCTTGCCAACGAATTCATCATCGAATGATCAACATGAACGTAATAAATCTACTGGTGAAGTACAATCAATTGTTGAAGATATAAAAGATTTTCGAATGGGTGATCGAGTACAACACACACGACCAGCATCTATTAATAAGTTCGTTATTTCATATTTATTTATTTATTTTCTTATTTTATATGTTTTATTTATTTAGAAAACAAAAGAAAGATGAAGATCATTCATCGATCTATGATATAACTCGATTTAAAGGACAAACATTACTTAGTGATTTAACAGATGATACATCTAATATTTTATATCAACCAAAAACTTATGAAACAAAACAAATATATGAAACTTTACTTAATTTTATTCAAGAAACTATTGGTGATCAGGTTTGTTTTCTTTTTTTCTTTTCAACACAAAAACATTTTTTCATTCGATTTCTTATTTTAATTTAGACACAAACTATTTTACGCAGTGCTGCTGATGAAATATTAATTTTACTTAAAGATAATAAATTAACTAATCAAGATCGTAAAAATAAAATTGAAACATTATTAAAACCAGGCATGTCTGATGAACGTTTTAATTTTCTTATTAATCTTAGTAAAAAAATTACCGATTGGTCGTTCGACATTGAAAGTAAGTGGAGAACAAAAAAGGAAAAGGAATGTAATCAATAATCAATATTCTATTTTTTTAGATGATACAATCGATGAAACAATTGGTGTTCCTATTCAATTTGAAGGTTCAAGCGATGATGATGATGACAACGAAGATGAAATTTCCGATGTTGGAGAAATTCCAATGGATGAAAATATTCAAGAAACAAGTTATTGCATAAGAGTAATTTATTATTTTGTTTTTTTGTTTTACAGTAGTTGCAAGAAGTCAATCCTTTTGCCTAATATTTTGATTACATATAGAGTTCGGTAAATTCTGATTACAAATAGCAACTCGAAGTCGATAGGTCTTAATGAAAAGGATTTACAATGACACCATTGTTTCTTTCCCTAGGGTGCAAAAAAGATTTTTTTCTAGACACTTTCTAATTTTCCGCTATTTAAATGTACTAACCTCTATAAGATTCGCATGTCTATATTGTCTCACAAGTAAAGTACTTCAATCCGCTGTAATCTTGAAGCGTGGGAAAGTCTCCATTGCCTGCAACAGTCTCAGCATGGATCTCTTCTTCATTGACGATTGCAATCGTGAAATACGATTAGAACAGGATAATCATTGAAGAAAATCTCAAGAGAAATGGCTAAAATTAGCCAGAGATATGTGTCACTTTTCAACGATTTTCATTAACTGTCATGTAGGAATTAATCTAAAAGATTACTTCATAAATCAAGCAAAGTAAAACTATTTGATATGAGATTTTTATTAGTGATAGTGGCAGCACCGAGCTGTCAAATGAAGAGTTCAATGTTATTCTATGTTGAAATATTCTTGTCTGAAGCAAGAAAAAATCTATATTGACCTTCTAGTTTCTCTACATGAAGGCTGATCAAGTTCTGATTAGTCTTTGCAATCAGAGTTCAACATACTCTATTTGTAAACAAACTAAGAGACTAAAGGATTAAAGTTTAGATACATTTTACTTAGTAGTAGGACTTTTTGTGACTATTGTATTTTATATAAATTAAAACGAACTAAATAATTTTTTTTAGAGTGATGATTTAATTCGAACAAATAATACATTACAACCACATGCAATTGATGCATTTTGGTTAGAACGTAATTTAAGCAAAATCTATCCGAATATTACAGATGCAAAAAACAAAGCTGAAGAACTTCTTGATATTCTTAAAACAACATCGAATAATCATGAATTAGAAAATAAACTTATTATATTACTTGGTTGTGAACAATTTGAATTTATTAAAACATTACGAACACATCGACAAATGAGTAAGCTTATCCTCTTTTGTCTTTTTTTTCATAAATAATAAACATCTTTTCCTTTTTTTCTTTTTTAATAGTTCTTTATTGTATTCTACTTGCAAGAGCACAAACTACATTAGAAAAAACACATATTGAAGAAAAAATGAGAAATAATCCAGAATTAATATGGATATTGCATGATTTATCAACATTACAAATTAATCGTGATCAAGAAAACATGGAAATAGATAATAATAATACAACACATCAAATTCTTGATTTTGAAGATTTAACATTTCATCAAGGAAATCATTTTATGTCAAATAAAACTTGTCAATTACCAAATGGATCTTTTCGTTTACAAAAGAAAGGTTATGAAGAAATACATATACCTTCTCTTAAACCTTCAAGATTTAATTCCGACGAAGTAAGTTAAATAAAAGTTTTTATAAAACATGATCTAAAAGGAGTTTTGAAGTATAGGAATGAAAATCTGATACTTTTTGATGATTTAAATAGTGCAACATATACTCCGACATATGTGCAATTTAATAGTATAAAAAAGTCTTTGCTCTTCTTGTTACTATTAGTCGGAAAACACAGAGAAAATCCTCGTCAAAAAATGTTGCTTATAAAAATTAGGAGTTTTTTTTTTTACTGTAAATTAAAGACATCCCTGAGAAAATTATATATAATCTGAAATTGTTTTTCAATCTTTCGATTCGAAAAAAAACCAATTTTCGCGTTTATTTGTTACAATCTTCTATAACTTCGAATCAAGCGAAACTTCAGTACTCTGAAGTACAAAATGAAATATAGTACTTCGGAGTGTTGAAGTCTCGCTTTTTTTTCCCTTTAATATCCAACCATAATATCAATATATCATTAGCGCATGAGTTCCAGAGCCGAGCTCAAGGCTTTCTAGAAAAGTCTCGAATTTTAATCTTGCAAAGATAGTGTTATTATTTTTCTAAACAAATTTTAGATTCTTTATCCAATATCAAATTTACCTAAATATGTTCAACCAGCATTTGAAGGCTATAAAGAATTAAATCGTATTCAATCACATATGATTAAAACAATATTTGAAACTGATGAAAATATTTTATTATGTGCACCGACTGTAAGTTACAAACAAAAACAAAAAAATTATTTTTTATATTAAACTTTTATTATAATTCTAGGGTGCTGGTAAAACAAATGTTGCATTACTTTGTATTCTACATGAAATAGGTAAACATATTATGTCTGATAATAGTATTAATACTAATGAATTTAAAATAATTTATATTGCACCAATGAAATCACTTATTCAAGAAATAGTTAATAGTTTTACAGAGGTAATTTTTTTTTTACAATTTTAATATTTAATATGAAAATTTTATTTTTTTGTTTTATTTAATATTCTTTTTCTAGCGTTTAAATTCCTATGGTATTAAAGTATCAGAATTAACTGGTGATCATCAATTAACCAAAGAAGAAATAAATCAAACACAAATAATTATTTGTACACCAGAAAAATGGGATATTATAACACGTAAAGGTGATGAACGTATATATACACAATTAGTACATTTAATAATTATTGATGAAATACATCTATTACATGATGATCGTGGTCCTATACTTGAAGCAATTATTGCTCGAACAAATCATTTAATTAAAACAATAAAAAATCATGTACGTTTTGTTGGATTAAGTGCTACATTACCTAATTATGAAGATATAGCCGAATTTTTGAATGTAAAATCTACAGGTTTATTTTATTTTGATAATAGTTATCGACCTGTACCACTTGAACAAGAATATATTGGTATAACAGAAAAAAAAGCCATTAAACGTTTTCATATGATGAATGATCTTGTTTATGAAAAAGTCATGGAACATGCTGGAAAAAATCAAGTAAGAATTTTTATTAGTCGATTTCTCTTTTAATTCATGTTGGTTTTTTTTTTTATTAAGGTACTTATTTTTGTACATTCAAGAAAAGAAACAGGACGAACAGCACGTACTCTACGTGATGGATGTATAGAAAAAAGTACCATTGGATGTTTTCTTAAAGCAGATTCAGTTTCACAAGAAACTTTACAAATGGCAATCGAATTAACTAAAGTTAGTATGAATGATTTTATTACTTAGTTTAATTGTTATGAAAATCATAATTTTTTTTGTTTTTCTAGAAAACATTTCTAGGATAATAATTATTTCGAATGTTGAGAAAATTTGAAATAGAGTCACAAGAACATGGTTAGTCGATTGTCTTTGAGTTGTAATCTGCCAGCTTATACATATTACTTATTGTTTTTAATGGAATTTACTGAGTCATTATGATCGATTTGATTATAATATTTTTGGTAGCACATAAGACAACTCGCTAACATTCTGTAAGTTTAAGAAAGCATAATCAATAAGGCACTATGATACATTATGTTATATTCTATAAGTTTTATATATTTTTCCTACATATCTCGATATTTAGCATCTTAAATAATCGTATGTATTTATTTGACATACTTTAAATCTTCAGAATTGTAGTTGGATTATAATGGATTAATGTGTAATATGTACTAGATGTTAGAGAGACTCAGTCTGAAGTTTATAATTCTTCTTTTTTTTTGTTTTGAAGATCAAAACAAGGAACAAAAAAAACTTCAACTATCTAAATAATTAAGAAAAGTCAACTAACTATAAATCATAGATGTATTTATAATGTAGATGTAAAACAATAACAATGATTTTAATGATAAAATAAACATTTATCATACAATTATTATTTTCTATTTAAGAATTTGGAACTAAAAGATCTTCTTCCATATTCATTTGCTATTCATCATGCTGGTATGAGTCGTGCTGATCGAATTTTAGTTGAAGATCTTTTTCGTAAACGACATATTCAAGTACTTATATCAACAGCTACACTTGCTTGGGGTGTTAATTTACCTGCACATACAGTTATTATCAAAGGCACACAAGTTTATAATCCTGAAAAAGGTCGTTGGGCTGAATTAAGTGCACTTGATGTTATGCAAGTAAGTTGTTTGATAATATTAAATAAATTTGTTTATTATTATTATTATTGAATTTTAGATGTTTGGTCGAGCTGGTCGTCCTCAATATGATAAAATTGGTCAAGGTATTTTAATAACTAATCATAATGAATTACAATATTATTTATCATTAATGAATCAACAAGTAAGTAAAAAAAGAAAAACAAAAAAAAAAACAAAACCAATTCATTTGTAATATTTTAGCTTCCAATTGAAAGTCAAATGATATCAAAATTAATTGATAATCTTAATGCTGAAATTGTTCTTGGAACTATTGAAAATATTCATGAAGCTGCTGAATGGCTTTGTTCTACTTATTTATATATACGTATGAAAAAACAACCTCAATTATATGGTGTATCAAATGAAACTCTACTTATTGATAATACTCTTTTTCAACGACGTTTAGATTTAATTCATTCTGCAGCAATACAATTAGATAAAAGTCATTTAATTCATTATGATCGTAGAACAGGTAAGTTTCAAATGACTGATCATGGTCGAATTGCAAGTTATTATTACTGTAGTCATGAAACAATTGCAATATATAATAAATTATTGAAACCAACATTAAATGATATTGAATTATTTCATATATTTTCATTATCACCAGAATTTCGTCATATAATTGTACGAGAAGAAGAAAAATATGAATTAAAAAAATTAATTGAACATGTACCAATACCTATTAAAGAAAATATTGATGAATCAAATACAAAAATAAATATACTTTTACAAGTTTATATATCTCAATTAAAACTTAATGGTTTAGTATTAATGGCTGATATGATTTATATAATACAGAATGCTGAAAGATTAATTCGAGTAATATTTGAAATTGTTTTAAAAAAACAATGGGCAAGATGTGTAGATAAAACATTAAATTTAGCAAAAATGATTGATAAACGAATGTAAGATAGATGATTTATGTTAAAAAAAAAGAGAAAACTTTTAAATTGAAAATTTTATTTTCTAGGTGGCAAAGTATGTGTCCATTAAGACAATTTAAAAAAATTTCAAATATAATTAATCAAACAATTGAAAAGAAAAATATTTCATGGGATAGATTCTATGATTTAGATGCAAATGAAATTGGTAAGAATATTTTATTTTATTTTAAACTAGAAATAAACAAAATATTTTAGGTGAATTTCTTCGTGAACCTAAAATTGGACAAACAGTTTATAAGCATATACATTATATACCTAAATTAGAATTAACTGTACATATTTTACCAATTACACGATCAATGCTTAAAGTTGAATTAACAATAACACCTGATTTTCAATGGAATGAAACAATTCATGGAACAAGCGAGGTATATTCATATTTGATTGATAGAAAAAATATTTTAGGAATATGTTCTTTTTTTTTTTAGCCATTTTGGATTTTTGTCGAAGATGGTGATGCAGAAGTTTTACTTCATCATGAATATTTTCTTCTTAAAAAGTAAGTTTATTATTTATGAACACGATTTTCCATTAGAAGTTCATTGAGTTGAAAATTTTTTACGTTTGAACATGAAATTCAGATCTAGTTTATTGTAATTTTTCCCAATTCGAACTGAAAAATGCGAGATACTTTTTTTTTGTCGATTATTTACATAGGGTAATCAAAAATCTCTAGACACATGGACTCGACTAAGTCCGAAATCGAGATATGTGTGGGATCAAGTTATTTTAGTTCCTTTCTAGTGGTTTCAGTTTAGAGAAAACTATCCCAGAAATCATAAATTAGATTCAGCTGTTGTTTAAATTCATTTCATTCCCTTGATATTATACATAAAACTTAAATCTTTCGATTTTTGATTCATCACTTAAACTTATCTTTGATTGGAGTTTATATAAAATCTTTTTTGTTTTTTCGTTTTTCATTTAGAAAATATTGTAAAGATGAACATTATGTAAAATTTTTCGTTCCAATTTATGAAGCATTACCACCACAATATTTTATTCGTGTTGTATCTGATCGATGGTTATCATCAGAAACTCAAATAGCTGTATCATTTCGTCATTTAATCTTACCAGAAAAACAACTAGAATCAACTGAATTACTCGATTTACAACCATTACCTGTTAATGTATTAAATAATTCAAAATATGAAGAATTATATAATTTTAAAGTTTTTAATTGTATTCAAACACAAGGTAAAAAATGAATTGTTTGACATATTTTTTTTTTGAATTTACTTTTTTGTTTTTTTGTTTTAGTTTTTAATACATTATATCATACGGATGAAAATGTATTTTTGGGTGCATCAAATGGTTCTGGTAAAACAATATGTGCTGAATTTGCCATATTAAGATTATTTTCTGATGAAAAATTAAAAGAAATATCTGAACCTAAATGTGTTTATATAACACCAAAAGAAGAATTAGCAGAAATTATACGACAAGATTGGGACAAACGTTTTGGAATAATTGATCGAAAAGTGGTTATGCTTTCTGGTGAAATATCCATCGATCTTAAATTAATTGCAAAAGTATGTTCGATATATAAAAATGAAAATTTTTGAATTCTTTGACTATTTTCAATTTAGGGTGATATTATTATTTCAACACCAGAAAAATGGGATAATTTATCACGTCGATGGAAACAACGAAAACATATTCAAAATATTCATTTATTTATTGTCGATGATCTACACTGTATCAACTCAGATGATGGAGTAAGTTTCATTAGTTAAACTAGAACATTTTGCAATGATGACTACAATTAACAATATATAAGGGATCTAAGAAAAAGACTAATGTCATAACCAAGAAGGATTGGGCTCTCCCACCGATTGTGAAGCCACGCTAGCTAAATTCTATCACAAGCCCTTCCCTCCCTGTCAAAATCCTGATTACCCCACTAAAAAAGACGTTGCTATCTTCTCTAGAGAACAATCAACAGAAGTCTGATAGTATATAAAAGTGTCAACGGATCAAACGTCAATCTGTAGCAAATTCATATTTTTTAATGGATAAAGTAATGCGATCTTTACAAGAGAAAACATATCCTGTAAATAATGAAAGCTATTCTGATAATATTGTTTCTTCAGGATATGTCCATTTTTTACTAGTGTCCTACACGGGTAAGACTTTTTGCAATTGGAATTAATCGACATTCAATAGATACTTTCACAATTACAGTACGATTTTTAAACTTTTATTTTATATAGGAAAAAAAAACTATACTATTTTGTTTCTTTCATAAACAGCAACAAAAGAAGCAAAGATCATCTCAAATTCCACAAAAAAAGCAAGTGAATCAAGATTCACTTAGGTTTATTATTGCTAACGCTGGAATAGAACGTAGTGTTAGTATCAAATGTCATAATTGTGAATACATACATGACTTTGATCGGTTTTTAATAATAATGAGACATTATTATTTACTTTTTATTTTATTAAAATAGCGACTATATATAACATGAAAAAAATACCTGCTCTTCTCAAGTCAAACCGAAAGTATATTTCAAATTTATGATATCCTAGAATTTTACAAATAATGCACTAGTTCAGATTCTTTTTTTTATTAGAAGAATATATTTTCTTGAATTATTGAATAATTTTCATTAATAATATCTTTTCTCTAGGCTATTCTTGAAATAATTTGTTCTCGTATGCGTTATATAAGTTCTCAACTAGAAAAAAAATTCGTATAATTGCAATGTCAACATCAATACTTAATGCTAAAGATATTGCACAATGGCTTGGTTGTTCTACACATACAACCTTTAATTTTCGACCAAATATTCGACCTATTCAACTTGATTTACATATTCAAGTAAGTGAATCTAAAAAAAAAAACAATTCTGCTTTTTTTTTTAATGATAATTTATGTTTTCTTTTAAAAAAAAAATCAAGGATTTCAATATGACACATAATGCATCACGTTTAATTGCAATGACAAAACCAGTTTATCAAATAATTGATCGTCATTCATCAATATATCCAGTAATTATTTTTGTTTCATCAAAAAATTTATCACAATCAACAGCTATTGATATCTTAACATTAGCTAATACTGAACAAAAACAAAATCGATTTTTACATATTTCAATAAATGATATTCAATTATATATAGAACAAATTGAAAATCAAATATTAAAACAAACTATTTTACATGGTATTGCTTTTTTACATGAAGATTTAAATACAAAAGATTGTTCTCTAATTCAACAATTATTTACATCTGGTGCTATACAAATTTGTATTGTATCATATAATATGTTATATACATTAAAAATTTATTCATATTTGGTTATTATTATGGATACACAATATTATTATAGTAAAATACATACATATGATGATTATTCAATAAATGATATTTTACAAATGATAAGTCGATCGAATATTTCATTAAAAGAAAATAAAACAAAAGTTATATTAATGTGTTTATCATCTAAAAAAGATTTTTATAAAAAATTTCTTTATGAATCAATACCTATTGAATCTCATCTTGATCATTATTTACATGATTGTTTTAATGCTGAAATTGTTACAAAAACTATTGAAAATAAACAAGATGCTATTGATTATTTAACATGGACATTACTTTATAGACGTATGACATTAAATCCAAATTATTATAATTTACAAAATATTTCACATCAATATTTATCTGATCATTTGTCGGAATTAGTTGAAAATACATTATATAATCTCGAACAATCAAAGGTAAATAAAAGCAAAATTTCAAAAAAAAGAAAAATCGATTTTCTAGAGATCCTAAAGAAAGATTTGTACCGTTTGAAACTGGTTTTTGAATTTCTGACTCAATGATAAGAGCAATTTTTCGTTTGTACATTCGTATTCTATCTCGTCGCTAACGAATGATTTTGTTCATATATTGATTCTTCTTTTTATTTTTTTTTATAGTGTATTACAATTGAAAATGAAGTAGATGTGTCACCACAGAATCTTGGAATGATTGCAGCTTATTATTATATTAATTATCGAACAATTGGTGAGTAATGTACAAGAATAAAAATTCTAAATAATACATCATCCAATTTCTTTGTTTTAGAATTATTTAATAAATCATTAACATCAAAAATTAAGTTTCATACGTTACTTGATATTATTTCCAATGCTGCTGAATATGAAGATATTCCAATTCGTCGTAATGAAGAGAATATTTTAAAACAGGTTTGACATTATTTCAAAAACTTTTTTTTTTTAATGATTGTTTTTTTTTATTTATTTTCTTAGCTTTCAACACATTTACCAAATAAATTAAATAATGATGTTAAATTTAATGATCCACATGTGAAAACTAATCTTTTACTTCAAGCACATTTATCACGTATACAATTGTCATATGAACTTCAAAAAGATACCAATGAAATTTTAATCAAAGTAAAACAAAAGAAATTTTTTTCTTTTTCTCTATTCCATTTTTTTTTTTGTCTCATAGGCTATTCGTTTGATTCAAGCATGTGTTGATGTTTTAAGTTCTAATGGTTGGTCATCATCAGCATTAATAGCTATGAATTTAACACAAATGATAATACAAGCTATGTGGAATAAAGATTCTTATTTAAAACAAATACCACATTTTACAAATGAAATTATTCAACGATGTATTAATCAGGTTTATATTTAATTATTATTTTTTTATTTTATTTTTTATTTTAAACTATTTTTCTTTATTTTATAGAAGATCGAAAATATTTATGATTTAATTGAAATGCAAGATAATCAACGCATAGAATTACTTCAATTAAATACATTACAATTATCTGATGTTGCTCATTTTTGTAATCATTATCCAAATATTGAAGTATCATATGAAATTCCTAATAAAGATAATATCATTGCTGATAGTGTAATTAATGTAAATGTAACATTAGAACGTCTTAATGAACTCTCTGGATCAATTATGGCACCATTATTTCCACAAAAACGTCAAGAAGAATGGTGGTTAGTTATTGAAGATTCAAAAACAAATACTCTATTATCAATAAAACGTTTTACAATACAAGAAAAAACTAAAATTGTTTTAGATTTTATTGCACCATCAACAGGTATATATGATTATATACTTTATCTAATGTCTGATTGTTATATGGGTTGTGATCATGAATATAAATTTTCAATTACTGTTCGAAATAATATTAATATGACATCATGATATTATTTTATTGTAAATTTTTTAAACAAGAAAAATAATAAAAATAAATATATATTTTGATTCTTGCTAATTTTATTTGTTTTGTTTTTTACTTTTTGTTTATTTTAGAATTTTTATTTTCTCATTTGAGTTATAAAAAGAAACAAAAAAAAAGAAAGCAGACAACAAAATTTCTCTAGCCAATATGATCAATGATGATGGCGATAATTGTTAGAAATGGATGAAACATTAAAAGAACTATTTGAAGCTTGTCGGAATGGAGATTTAACTAAAGTTAAAAAATTACTTACACCAGATAATATTAATGCACAAGATATACTCGGAAGAAAATCGACACCTCTTCATTTTAGTTCTGGTAAGAATAAAAAATACATAAGATATACTATTCATGATAAATACTTGTTAAACTAGTTCGAGAAAAAAAATAAAGAAAAAGTGTTAATATAATATTTCGAATGGTTAAATTTAAAGTCTCACCTCCTTTCTCACTCAAAAATCGATTGACAATACAATGCATGAGGTTTTCATGAAATTGCTTGAAAAAATTCGGTTAATGAAAGTACATGAATAGCTCTAAACATTAATATTAAGGAGACTTGCAGGGAACAAAGTAACGGAAGGATCCGCTGCTCGATGATTAGGATAATGTATAATAGAAATTTTTTATTTGTATTTTCTTTGCTTCTTAAATAATATGATATTGTAGGATTCGGTCGTAAGGATGTAGTCGAATATCTTTTAAATCAAAATGCTAACGTTCACATGAAAGATGATGGAGGTCTAATTCCATTACATAATGCAGCAAGTTTTGGTCATGCTGAAGTTGTTCAATTACTTCTTAATTATCATTCGGATGTAAATGCATTAGATAATTGGAATTATAGTCCACTTGCTGAAGCAGCTAGTAAAGGAAAAGTTGATGTTTGTCTTAGTAAGTATTATTTTTTCTTGATATATTAGTATATTAAATTGATAAATTTATAAAATATAGTTCTTTTACAACATGGTGCAGATTCAAATATAAAAAATAGTGATGGAAAAACTGCACTTGATCTTGCTGATTCATCAACTCGACCAGTATTAACTGGTAAAATCGTATTTTTAATTGATTTGATCATAGTAAATTATTTGTTTTAATAATAGGTGAATATCGAAAAGATGAATTACTTGAAGCAGCTCGATCGGGTAATGAAGAAAAACTATTAAGTTTATTAACATTAGCTAATGTTAATTGTCATGCAAGTGATGGAAGAAAAGTATGTTAAAATTTTTCATTTAAATATAGATTAAAAAGAAATATAAATCATTTCAATTATTTTTTCTAGTCAACTCCATTACATCTAGCTGGTATTTTAAAAAACAAAAAAATTTTGATTTATCTCATTTTTTCTATTTATAGCTGGTTATAATCGATTAACAATTTGTAAAATATTACTTGAACATGGTGCTGATGTTCTATGCAAAGATAAAGGTGGACTTGTAAGTTATCAGATATTTTTTCAAATAACATCATAATCACTAGTCACAGAGTCTAGATAGTTTTCTTGTCCGAAAGCAAAATCAATGATCAGAAGTGTATTTAAATCAATTTGTCTTATAGTCGACTTGCGAAATTTTTAAGCACGTTATGTATGGGTATAATTACACGCTCAATGAAGTTTTTCTTATAATATCTAATATTTTGTTCCTATCAAACATGTTCTTAAAACTTTTCAGCCTTCAATTCATATTTTGAACAAAATATTTTTACACACAAGCAGACTTTATTCTTTCTAACAAAAGATCTGTCTAGTCTCGATGACGAGTTGTTGTTACGTTATACTGAAAAGAAAATTAATGCAAAACTTTTGCATCATCCGTTATTTTGATAAATTTAAAATACATTTATTTAGGTTCCATTACATAATGCTGCTTCATATGGACGTAAGTGATATTCAATCTATCTTATTTTCATTCATCATTTGCCTTGTCTAGATTACGAAGTTGCTGAGCTCTTGATTAAAGTAAGACTTTCTTATTTTTATATGAAATTTAAACATGATCATACATTTAATAGCATGGTGCTCAAGTAAATACTTGTGATCTATGGCAATATACACCTATTCATGAAGCTGCTTCAAAATCTCGTATTGATGTTTGTACTCTTTTATTAAGTCATGGAGCTGATCCAACATTAACAAATTGTCATGGTAAAGCAGTATTAGATGTTGCTGCTAGTCGTGAATTACGAGATAGAATTTTATGTATGTTCAAAATTAATAATAATATTATTATTATTATGTTTGTTTTTTTTTGATAATAATTAATCTTTTAGCTGAATATCATGGATATTCATTTCTTGATGCAATACATAATGGAGATACTAGTCGAGTTAAAAAATTTTTATCTAATGAAACAATTAATTTTAGACATTTTAAAACAGGAGATTCACCATTAGTAAGTTCTATGATTAATAAAAATAAGAAATAAATCTATTGATCTCTAGCATATCTCTTGTACATCATCATTGGCAAAACATCGTCGACAAATTTTTGAAATGTTAATTCGGCGTGGTGCTCTTGTTAACGTTTTAAATACAGCGTAAAAGAATTTTAGAATATAGTAGTTTTTCATTTCTCATGTCTTGGCTACTATACATGCTAGAAGTCTGAAAATTTATGTGTACATACTGTACTTCGAATTCGGTACTGAAACATGAGATTGATGAAGGACACCTATCTTTGCTTCAAATCTTTATATAGATCTCCAGCATGTATATTAGTCGAGATATGAAGAGTGAAAAAATTTTGTTCTTTACTGTAATTTTTGTTTTTATATTAGACAAATGGCTCCTATTCATATATGTGCTGAAGCTGATCATAGTGATCTTTTAGAAATTTTATTAAAACATAATGCTGATGTAAATATATTAATCTTCGAAGTTTATTATTGTAAATAAATCTTTGAAAATTTATAGATTAATTTACTTGATGGTCAAGGACAAACTGCATTACATCATGCAGTTAAAAATGGACATTTAAATGTTTGTCGATTTTTAATTACACATAAAATTGATACTTCAATTGTATCATCCTATGAACAAACAGCATTAGATATAACTTCAGCATCGAATATTCAACAATTATTAATGAGTAAGTATTGAGAAAAAAGAAATTTTATTTTAATGATATTTTAATTCAATGATTAGCTTATGAAAATGAAAAAGTTATATTAACACCAAATATAACCGATCTTCAATTACAATTACTTGAAGCATCAAAATCGGGTGATCTTGATGTTGTTAAGGTTTATTATTTAATTTCATATGAAATTTTTTTTCCTTATTCAAATTTTTTTGTTTTTTGTGTATTAAGCGTGTACTTACTTTCAATCCATCATTAGTTAATTGTCGTGATGTTCAAGGTAGAAATAGTACTCCACTTCATTTTGCTGCCGGATATAATCGTTTACAAGTTGTTGAATATTTATTAGCCATGGGGGCTGAGGTAACAGCAAGAGATAAAGGTAATAAAATCAAAATCATTTTTTTGTTTTTCAATAAAAATCATTTCACTTATTTTTTTTTCTATATTGGCAGGTGGTCTTGTTCCTTTACATAATAGGTATAATAGAAAAGTTGATTTTATTAGATTTATGTATATCTTTGTTTTTTTTCTTCTAGTTGTAGTTATGGTCATCTTGAAGTTACAGCACTTTTACTTAATAATGGTGCATCATCTCAAATAACTGATCTATGGAAAGTAACACCATTACATGAAAGTGCAGCTAAAGGAAAATTTGAAATATGTAAATTACTTATTAAATATGGTGCTGATTTAAATAAAAAAAATCGTGATGGTGCTATACCACTCGATTTAGTTAAAGAACGTGATAGTGATGTAGCTGATTTACTTCGTGGTGATAGTGCTATTTTAGAATTAGCTAAAAAAGGAAATTTAGAACGATTAAGAAAATTATTAACACCAGAAAATGTTAATTGTCGTGATCCATTAGGACGAAATAGTACACCATTACATTTAGCTGGTAAATAAATATAAATCTTCTTTTGTTTTTTTTTGTTCTTTAAATTTTTTAATTCTTCTTTTCTTAGCTGGATATAATCATTATGAAATAGCACAATTTTTATTGGAAAATGGTAGTAATCCTAATGCTGTGGATAAAGGTGGATTAATAGGTAATTTAGATATTTAATTTCTAGAATTAAGTCTATCTCCTAAGAGTCGGTTGGGTTCAAAATTTTTGAGCCTGGTCAAACCGAACTTTGATATTCTCAATGAAGTTTTCTAAACGGAATCGAAGAATCGCCCCGAAGATACGAAGTAGTTGTTTCTATTTTTTTTTGTATCCGATGAGTAGCGCACGACGGATTAGGATCCAGGACCAAGTCGACAGACTTAACTGTCCCATTCAAAAGTCGATCTTGGATCAGTTATATTCAAATCCCATGAACTATTCAACAAACAAGGCTCAAACAAGTTTAACTACAACACATTTTTCTTTTTTTTTATAATGTTAAGTAATTAGCACAAATTCAGGTAATAGTTTTAATAGCCAATGGAGTTGTTCATATAATGTATTCGTTAACAAAATTTCATGGATGAACTATGATAGTGAGGTTTCTAAAAAGCCAAGCGCGATAGTTTTCAAGTCTTAGAAAAAATTAGTCTTCTAAGATCTGAAAAGCACCGTGTCTGATTTCTTAGAAACCTTGCTATCATACATAGTTCATCTAGAAAATGTTGATATAAAACGTATTAGATAAAAAAATTTCATTGACTATTAAAATCACTATCTGAATTTGAATTAGGTGCTTAGCATTATAAAAAGAAGGTTGATAAGAGGTTGTTGTTAAACTTTTTTCTGTCATAGTAATTCATTTGGCAACCTAGAGTTCTCCGTGGACATTCATTTTATATACTTAATTTATTTTTGTTTGACAGAGCATGTCAGACTGTAGGGCATGAGAGAATCTTTTCTTTTTCTTACTTGTTATGTAGAGA